TGTCTAAATATTGTAATGTGAGGCTTGGATTTGTATTGCATTATTTCCATTTCAGATTCGCTGAATATGTTCTTCATTTTTTGGTTTTCTAGCACTAAATCTTTGCACATTTTGTTATAATATTTGGCTTTTTCTTTTTGAGCTGCCCTTTAAATTTTTCTGTTAAGCTCTTTGACTTCATCATTTATTCCATGTGCAAGGTTCGGAGTCTCTTCTGACACTTGTACTAATCTTTCTTCTTTTTAATGATGCTTTGCTTTCTCTATGAATGATGTTCTTTATGTCTCTCACAGCTGCTCAGGTTTTCTGTCATTAGTTTACAACGTGTCAAGTCTGTTCTTAAAATGTTCTCCAAATTCAGGTGGGATAGACTCAAAATCCTATTTTAGCTCTTGTGGACTTAAAAAAAATGTCTTCAGCTTCCACCTGAATTTACATTTGAGCAATTGTGATCTGCTCCGGTCAGCCCCTGGTCTGGTTGCAGCTGCAAACATTGAGCTTCTTTCACATCTACTCCCGCAGATGTAGTCAATTTGATTTCTGTACATTCCATCTGAAGAAGTCCATGTTTACAGTAGTCTTTTGTGTTGTTGAAAAAGAGGTATTTCAGATGAAGAAATCATCGGTCTTGTAAAATTCTATCATGCAATCTCTGACTTTGTTTCTATCACAAAAATGCATATTTTCAACTGCTATCCCTCCGTCTTTTTGGAACATTTAGATCCTGATATCCAATGATTATCAGTGCATCTTTTAAAAAATAATAGTTTTATTGAGATATATATCACATACTATACATTCCCATAGACTACTCATGTTTAAAAAGAGTTGTCCATGCATCACCATGACCATTTTGAGAACATCCTTCCTCCTTCTGTTGTTATTATTTGCTTCTCATTTCCCTCCCTCCTCTACTCCCCCTCCCCCTGTGAATCATTACACTAATTATTGTCTCTATACATTCGCCCATCCTGTGCTTAATGTACTGGAAAACATACCCCCCCAAATGGAAAAGCAACAAAATAAAACAACAATAAAAAATGAAAACAGTAAATCAATTTTCAAGAAAGAAAGAAAAGACTAACGATTATATTAAAATAAACTAGAGTGAAAACAACTCTCTTGAGTAAAAAGCTGGAAATAATGAAAACTAGAGCAAATCCAAATGGATCAAAGGGAGGTAAAATGACCATGTACCACATTATCACCTAATTTAATCTGCCATAATCAAGTTTACAATAGTCTCTGTCCCTCGACTGTGGTTAGAAGAGATCCACTAGAAGCTTAATCTATGAAATGACACTGCAGATGGATTTGGGGCTCCCATTGTCATCCATAGCATTCTGCAAATTGGGTATTTACAATTTAGCTCTGATTCCTTTCCCTCCTTTGGATTTGGAGTTTATTGTTTACAACCCTTAGAACATACATACAAGCCAGTGTGCTGCTTTCATGTGGATTTATTTGACATCTCACTTAGATGGGCGCTTATATAAATATAAGCCCTCAAGACCCCAGAGAGATACTATTCTTTTTGTTAGTCAGGCACCATCTGCTTTCTTCACCACGCTTTGTTTTATAAGGGCAAGCATTGAGCAGGGCCATGTC